CCATTTATTTCTTATGCCAATAAACTACAGAACATAGGTCCATCAATTATCAATCAAAATTTACCTGCCTCTATTAAATACCTTGGCTCAATGATGGATCGAAACATGAAATGGGATTCACACGTATTATATCTAACTCAAAAATTGTGGGGATTTTTGTCTTGCTTCAAACTATTGAAACAATGGCTCGAAATTCCTTATATGACTACTGCATATTATGGTTTGGATCAATCGCAACTCTCTTATGGTATTATAGGTTGGGGAGGTTAAGGGATACCCACTTGAGATGTCTGGAGACTTTACAAAAAAAAGTCTAAAAATTTTGTTAGGTAAAGGTAGCACGTTCTCCAGTGACCTGTTATTTGAAAAATGTAAGGTCCTAGATACACGGCAGCTAAACTGTCAGAAGATTATTCTGAAAGTCGTGTTTCATATTATGTATATAGTTTTTCAATTCATTATGCTAATTCATTTTAATCAGTTTATATGTATTCATTGCATTGTATTCAATTCATTATAGTCAACAGTTTATATTTATTCATTGAATAGAATACTCTTACATACATATATTTTAGTTCAATTATAGTTTAGAATTTGGCAATATCATGCACAAGGAACATTTTTTTGAAAATGTTATTTACCGGATCTCTGTAATATACATGTGAATAAACAGTATTATTATTATTATTATTTGTTACAGATATACAGTATGAGTATTTTTCCATATTGTTGTTTATTATTGATTGTTATTCATTTGTTATGATTATACCATAATGATCAATCATAATTTGTTTTCTGAAAAATTACAATTATATACAGAGAAAGATATATGCATACAAACAAATTCAACTAGTTTCTAATGTACAAATTCACTGAAAGTCTATTATTTGGCGTATGCGCCCAGGTTGGTTATATTTTACTTCCTCTGGTAATAGAATAGCGCTGCTCATTGTAGACGCCATCGTTTCAGCATTTCCACATGATTAAAAAGTGAAATTTGAAACCTCTGCCCTCCACCACAAATGCGAATTTGTATTCAAGGAAGTGAAATTATTTTTTGCAGTAGAATATTTGTGTAGGTGCATCATAAATTTCATTTGAAATAAGTCGGAATTTAATCAAATTCTGATTTCGAACACGCAGTCAAGGATAATTTTGAATTTCGATATGACATCACATGGCATGTGACGAAGAAATTTACCCGAATGTTGCATGAAATTTCTTTGAAAGGAAGGCGTTTCTATTATTAACAATCCCTTAGTTGGGAATTGATGAAAAAGGAACTATCGGAAAATATAAATTGAATATTTTGAAGTTGTTCAATATGTCTACTATTCTTTGAAGTAATTACTTACCTGTTTATAAAAAAAATATCGTGTCAAAATTCCAAATCGACCTTAACTTCCAGATTGATTGGTAGTATTTTGAAAGTTCTCGAACGAAGTCATTTTAGAGAATATACTGTTTAATTCAACGTGCTAAAATTTTCCATTCAAAATGGTACGAAATCTCTCAATTCTATCAGCAGAGTACCTAATCAATAAAATTCAATTAACTCGCAATTTAACTTGGCGCACACGCCAAATAATTGACTTTTCGTGATTTTGAACGAAACAAACTAGTTAAATTATTTTGTAAGACAATTGAAATTGTTCACATGCATCTTGATACAATTGTAAAAAATGCAACAAGCGGTAATGAAATTTGACTTATATGAAGAAATGAAGTGACGAAAGCTCATCCTCGTTTTTTACTAGTCTATATTATGAAACATTTTTGATTTGGATATGTTGGTAGAGAAAAGTATCTTCTGTATAATTCAGTGTTCATATAGAAGGATTTGTTCCGAAATAATTTTTTTCTATCGTGTAATTCAATGTTTATATGAAAGTAGCTGTTTCAGGAGGACTTTCTTTCAGTTTGTGTCTGAAAGTTACTTCTTTGCATGATCTACACATCTATGTATAGAGTTACTTATTTTGAAATTGATTACTTCCTTCCTTTCTTTGGAAGATTCCCTCATCCTTTTTTTGTATCAAGATGGAGTAGTAGTAGTAGTAGATACCAGATGTACTTGAGCTAAACTGTCTATTTTGAATTTGATTAATACATTATTTATTGACAGGGATGCAAAACATGATTCATGAGGCTTGTACATTTTACAATCTACAGACCCAATGAATAGACAATTTTCATTTTTACTACCTTTATCATTGTCTCCTTCCACCACATTCACATTTTTTGTAAGCACATTTTTCGTGCTCCAGTCTTGAGATCCGTCACAAATTGTTCCATTGTTTCGTTAGACATTTGCTCGCGCGTAAAAAATTCATAACGTTCGTAGGAAAGTTTTTTTTCGGCAAAAAATGTTTCTCGAACATTGCTACAGTTTTTATTTTGTTTTTTTCGGTGTCGTTCTCAAATGCGAAGGTATTGTAAATATCAAAACCTTCCTCACCTATGTAATGGAGAAGTTGTGTTTTTTGAATGTTTCCATCCTTTTTCACCGTTTCCGAAGCAACTAATTAATTTTCAAATGTTCGTCTTCATGATTTCCAGTTTTCGGAAATATTTCTAGAAAAAAAATTGGACCATCCCTCTGAAGTCACTCATATCAGAACTGTTATTATTCACTAATATTACTATTAAATACCACTTTTAATTACTGACTGAGACATGTTAAGGTTCCTTGAATTGAAACAATCGCTGGAGATAGACTGACTTTAATTTTCTTTGCACTCATTTTTGTTATAACTTTTTACATACAAGTACAATCCATAGACAAAGCATCTAGGTAAAGTAAGTAGCAGAAATAACTACACGGTGTAGGTAGTTATGAGAGATGAATATTTTGAGGTTTCATTTCAAAATATTCATTTCCTTATATAGAATTCAGGCATAGCATATAATTGTAGATATTAAATATTTTTTGTCCTGTTTGATGACCAGCTCGCCAATATCGTTAATATTTAGTCACGAAATGGATATATACAATTGACATTCTGAACGTTAATAATTCAAATCAGCAGGTAAGTACCCGACAGGAATTGAGATAATTTTTTTTGCGTCATCAATTATTCAGTAAGATCTTTTCAAAATTGAATTGGGCATATTCCTGATGCATTCTTCATTCAGAACTTATTCTGGATGTATGTGACAAGAAGTTGTAGTTGTAGGAATATTGTAAAATTCAGAGGCGGCAGAACCCAGCCTGATACAATCTCGTTCCAAATGGTGGAGGTAACTTACGATACAAGTATAAAAAATCGTATGTTAGTAGGATGGCTCAGATATTGTTTTTGTCTTGTTTTTGAACTCAGGAGAAGTAAATGAGTTTTATTTGTTCGGTTGTACGAATTTTTTTCCAGAAATCAATTCATTCATTTTTAGAAAAAAATTTGTCCTCTGTCCACCTGCACGCCATTTCAATTGAACTATCGAAATGTATATACAGGTTGTCCCAGTCTCTCTTCAATGAACCGTTACAATTAACAATAATGAATAATTTAAAATGTACTGTACTTGAAAACAGCTAATTGATAATAAACAATAATGCAACCTGGCAGGGTTTATTTATGTGATTGGTATGGAAAACTATATTTGTACAGTGTCAGCATTTGCTCTGTCTAGAACGCACTTATTAATCTTGCTACTACTACAAAATGAGCATTTTTCATCGAAAGCTGTTATCACTTGTAATATGGTAGGAGAGAATAGGGTAATGGGAATCACCCTCACATCCACGAAACAATACGAGCGAGCAACGCAAAAATGACATCCCTACCCTTGCTCAGACCCAACAGTGCTGCCTGGAACAGCCTGCGCCAGTCAGTGCCCACGCTATTGAGATACGTAGGTGATTTGTTTTTGTGCTCCACTGATATAATTTTACCTCATTGCAAATTAGAAGGTAAGTGTCGAATACCTTGCAGTATGCGATTGAGACGAAATTAGTTAGACATTCGAAATTTTAATGGGCAGTTCAGACTATGTCAGTGTTTTGTGTGTTTTTTATTTCATTTTTTTTCGCATTAGTGTAATTGTGGGAAATGAGAGTCAGGTAACTCCCAATACCCGCAAGTGATCACTATTACCCGCAACTTTGCATGTTGAATTACGTCATTTTTATTTCTTTTTAGATGCCGAAAGTACGGGTCAGGACAACTGCAAAGGCTTCCTGGTCTCCTGATAGCCTGGAAAAAGCTATAAAGCTTGTTGAAGAGGTTCTTCTATGAGAAATGCTGCTGAGTTAAGGGGAATCCTCTTTTCAAGCCTCCAAAAGAGGATAAAAAAAGGTTCTACCTTAGGATCACATCTATGACGGTTTACTGTTTTTAGTGCTGAGACAGAAGCCGAGCTAGCAAACTTGGTGAAGAAAATGGCAAATATTTTTTATGGTTGCACTGCTAAACAAATTAGAGAAGTGGCTTTCGAATATGCTGAAAAATTGAATTTGAAGCACAATTTTAATTAGTGTTCAAAAATGGCTAGACGCGATTAGTTGCATGCATTTATGACCAGACATAACATTTCTATTAGGAAACCTGAGGCGACCAGCATAAACAGAATAACAGCTTTTGAAAAAACCGAAATAAGTTTGTCCTTCGAGCTACTTGGCCAGCTGATGGAAAAACATAGATTTGTTCCAAAAAATATTTATAATAGCGACGAAACGGGTATTTCAACAGTTCAAACTTCTGGAAAATTTCTGGCTACCAAAGGACAGAAGAGAGTGAGATCGATAACCAGTTGGGAAAGAGGAAAAAACATCACTTTGATGTGTGCTATGAGCGTTGCTGGCGGTTACATTCCACCGATGTTTATTTTCCCCAGGAAAAGGTTGACTCCTCTGCTCGAGAAGGATGGTCCAGCAGGAGCGCTTTACAAATGCTCGGACAACAGTTGGATTAATGAGAATCTCTTTATTGAATGGTTGGCGCACTTTAAACAGCACGCTAAGCCGTCTGCAGATGAACCCATCCTTTTAATACTAGACAACCATGCTAGTCACATTACTCTCTCTCAAGTCACACAGAATGCAACCTCTGGACGTTTCTTTTTTTGGTCCGCTCAAAATGGCCTATAAAAAAGAATGTGACTTATTTTTGAAAAGCCATCTTGCAGAAAAGATAACACCTTATGACGTAGCATCGTTGGTGAGAAAAGCATTTAATAATGTTGCGTCTATTAGTAAAGGAGAATCGGGTTTTAGAGCTACTGGAATATTTCCACTAAATCCGGAAGTATTCACAGAAGAAGATTTCTTCGCTGCAGAAACTCTCCAATCTGAGACTATTGTAATCCAAGACTGCAATGAAACTCTCGCAGCTACCGAAAGGAATTTTGGTCAGATCTGATGTTGTTTGTAATAGTTTGTTTCCCTCGAAACCAAACTTGAGATGTAGATTCTTATGCATTCGAATCTTATTCACTGGTATCTCTTTTTCGCATTGTTCACCATCGCTATTGNCAGAGAACTCAACATATATCGTCAATCAATTCTCCTCACTTGCCGTCGACGAATAGCGACCGGAGTGGCTTGAATGTAATCATCTTATTTTTTATTTGAGAGTTTGATAGCATTTTGAACTGCACCATATGAGAAAAATATTCATTTTAGCTTTTGTTTGTCAAGGAGTTAATTCTTCGGATATGTCATGCACAATTTTCAATCTCGGCAACATTAATTATCCTATTACTTCAAATGAGATACATACACCACCGAGTCCAAGTTTTTTTTAGGTAAGTAGGTAGGTATTGTAGACACCCCTGTTTTCTCTACGCATTCAGCAACGGCAAGACATATTATTCACCACCAAACATTAGGAATCACCCCTGCCCTGAAGTGTCTTGTCTATGTTATTCTCTGTTAGTGGCAGTTCCTATATCAAATCAAGCAAATGGATAGTGACTGTCAGTAAATCTCCACTTTGGCATTTTGAATTGAAAATAACATTTACTTTGCTTTGGTGCAACTACGCATCTCTCAAGCTATTTTATTATGGTGGTACCAACCCCTTTATTTCATCGTGACAATATATCATTGAAAAAATAAGAATACCACCCTAACAAAATTTCAGACAAAAGCTGCGGGTACAGAAATGAAACATGCGAAACAACACGTGAACAAATACAATGAAGTAGTATTATTAATCATTATATATTTTATAAATAAAAGTCAGTATCTCAATACAGGAACTGAATAACATTCAGCAAGGATGTTAGTCCAATTATTTAGATTATGTATGAATTAAAATGTGGAGTCGCTAGAATGACTCCTCTCGTGAAGTTTCAAACTACTACCGTGAATGTAGTATTTTGAACAAATCCTGCACTGAAAAGACTTTTCACCAGTATGGATTCTTTCATGAGCTCTTAAGGTAGAACTACGTGTGAAAGATTTTGGGCAGACTGTACATTGGAAAGGTTTTTCCCCGGTANACCCTCTAGCTAGAGACATTTACAGTATAAAAACTGTTTGAAATCTTTTTTTGACGTGGTTTCCACTATGACTTTTCAATTTTATTTTTGATAATATAACACAATGGAGGCATTCCGAAATCTATGTAAAAGTTACTTTAAAAATAATTGAAATATATTAACTATGTTATCAAACAATTTGTGTAATATTCGATTAGATTTACGTGATGCGGCCATCTTTGTTTATCTTTTGCCACACTATTTTGCTACAACTACGAGGTGAATAAAGGAATTCTTCTCCACCTGCATTCTCAAAATATTCGTGAAATATATTGTTGAATTTCAAATACGGTCGCTTTCAGGAAGATGAATTTTCGAAAATGAAGATTGTAATATTCAATATCAATATCAGGAATTTTTCCTGATATTTTAAAAATTGGTGTCGTCAAACCGGTATACAAAAATGGAGATAGACTTGAGATTGCTAATTACAGACCAATATCATTGATTTCTTTGAAAATTCAACCTTCTGTCAGAACAGCAGTACGAATTCAGGGAGGGGAGGTCACTTTAACATCAAAAATTTACGAATCGTTGGATTTATCAAAACCTGCATTATGTATCTTAGTTGACCTATCGAAAGTGTTCGATACTGTTTGCCATAAAAGACTACTCCGGAAATTAGAAAACATCGACATACGAAGCGGAGCATATGAACTGTTTCATTCCTACCTGAATAATCGAAGACAAATAGTTGACATCGATGGAAATAAAGTAGTCCAAGAATAATTACTTACGGAGTTCCGCAAGGTACACTCTTGGGTCCAATACTATTCATTATCTATATAAATAGTTTATTAAAAATGCATTCCGAAAAGAAACATTCTCAGTTTTACTGACGACACAGCAATCTGTTTAATGCGGAGACATGGCAAGACCTCAAGGTGAAATCAGAAAGATATTTCAAAAACATCATGAAATGGTTTCAATATAACAAATTGACCTTGAACGTAGAAAAAACAAAATATCTTCCATTTATTCCTTATGCCAATAAACTAGGGAACATAGGTCCATTAATTATCAATCAAAATTTACCTACCTCTATTAAATGCCTTGGCTCAATGATGGATCGAAACATGAAATGGGATTCACACGTATTATATCTAACTCAAAAATTGTGGGGATTTTTGTCTTGCTTCAAACTATTGAAACAATGGCTCGAAATTCCCTATATGACTACTGCATATTATGGTTTGGTTCAATCGCAACTCTCTNTTTGAAAGGAAGGCGTTTCTATTATTAACATTCCCTTAGTTGGAAATTGATGAAAAAGAAACAATCGGAAAATATAACTATTTTGAAGTTGTTCAATATGTCTACTATTTTCTGAAGTAATGACCTACCTGTTTATAAAAAAAATATCGTGGCAAAACTTCAAATCGAACTTAACTTCCAGATTGATTGGTAGAATTTTGAAAGTTCTCGAACGAAGTCATTCTAGAGAATGTCCTGTTTAGTTCAACGTGTTAAAATCTTCCATTTAAAATGGTACGAAATCTCTCAATTTTATCAACAGAGTAATCAAAAATATTCAAGCAACTCGCAATTTAACTTGGTGCATACGCCAAATAATGGACCTTTCGTGATTTTGTACGAAACAAACTAGTTAAATTATTTTGTGAGACAATTGAAATTGTTCTCATGCATCTTGATACAATTGTAAAAAATGCAACAAGCGGTAATGAAATTTCGTTCTTTACTATTCCATATTTTGAAAGATGGAATTTACTAAAATATGGCATATTGAAGGGCATTAGCAATGGATGTAATTCATTTTTTGACGAATCAATATAGTGGGTGAAACGCATGTGTAGAAGTGTGTTACAGTGTAAGTTTAGAATGTAATTAAATGAAATTTCCAACACATATTTTCAAATCATTTCACCTATTCATGAAATTCCAGTTCAATATCTGGTTACATTCAATCTAACTTTACTATTGAAGAAAGATGAATAATCTGTGGCGTCCTTATTTAGAAAATGACATTTTATTAAAACAATATTCTGAACATCAATTTCATCTATTTCACAACCAAGGCGTGGATTCGAATTCTTGGGATCTGATTGAAAAATTAAGATGTTCTTCAGTAAGCTGAGAGGATGCCAGCCAATTAATGTTTCTCGAACATTGCTACAGTTTTTATTTTGTTTTTTTCGGTGTCTTTCTCAAATGCGAAGGTATTGTAAATATCAAAACCTTCCTCACCTATGTGAGGTATTGTAAACCTTCCTCACCTATGTGAGGGAGGTTTTGATATTTACAATACCTATCTTTCTATGGAAGATTCCCTCATCCTTTTTTTGTATCAAGATGGAGTAGTAGTAGTAGATACCAGATGTACTTGAGCTCCACTGTCTATTTTGAATTTGATTAATACATTATTTATTGACAGGGATGCAAAACATGATTCATGAGGCTTGTACGTTTTACAATCTATAGACCCTATGAATAGACAATTTTCATTTTTACTACCTTCATCATTGTCTCCTAAAGTAGTTGTATGCTTTAATCAGATTGTAAGGGAAGTATTTTTCGAATTGTTTAGTGCGGTGATGGGGAATTGTGATTATTTTTTTATGCCTTAAATGCAAATTGTGAACGTCTGTCCTGTATCTGATTTTTTCAGTGAGATAAGAAGGAGTTTTATTTATTATTACTTTATGTTATAGAGATAGGCCATGAAGTTTCCACCGATTGCTCATAGACAACCATTCCGTAGTAAGTAAGGTATGAGAGATTCTTTCGAATATCCGGATGCCAAAAATAAGTCTTAGGCAGGAATTTTGCAGTTTTTGGATTCTAGATGTATCTCTTGCAGTCAGACAGGGCCCATAAACGAAATTGCAATAGCTCGCTTGGGATAGTACCAGAGAGTTGCATAAAAGAGTTTTGAGTGACCTACTCATAATATGTCTATGACCATATGAAATTTCAAGTTTTGCGTAAGATTTCTGAAGTATAAAAGATACATGATCGGAGAATTTTAACTTACTATCGATAAATAACCCAAGGTTTTTAGATTTATCTTTCACAGTTAGTTGATTACCTTCTAATTGAATGTTCATATCAGGTAGATCAATAGGTCCAAATAATATATCAGACGATTTCGATGGGTTTATAATCAAGTCATGTTTCTTTGAAGTCTCTACAATTTGAAGCAAGTCTTCATTGATTTTCTGTTGAGACTCTGCTAATGTGTTTGGATCGAAAAAGTAGTGGATTTGAGTGTCATCTGCGTACATATGGATTCGTGAGTATTTTAAAGAATTGGAAAAATATAATGTGTAGATAATAGAGATCAGAGGACCAAAAATCGAACCTTGTGCTACTCCACGTGATAAAGATCGATCGTCAGATGAAACTCCCTGTAATACCACTCTCTGAGATGTTCCTGTGATATAATTTCTGAAGAAATTGAGTGCTTGATTTTCTGAACCTATGAAGTGAAGTACCGAGAGCAGTATATCGTGATTGAGCGTGTCAAATGCTTTTTAGAATACATTTCACTTATTCATGAAACTCCAGTTCAATATCTCGTTACATTCAATCTGAATTTACTATTGAAGAAAGATGAATAACCTGTGGCATACTTACTTAGAAAGTGAAATTTTATTAAAAAAATATTCTAACAATCAATTTCATCTACGTCACAANCCTTCCAAAGAGTTTCTTGCTTCCGTTAGAGGTTGAGACTTGTTTGAAAATCATCAGTGTTATCATTAGATTGACTGGTGCCTCAGCTATACTTGTTTCCTTATAACAGTCAGTTAGTTCGGCTCATGTTTGACAATACCTGTTAAAAATTCCATTTTCAGATGATTTAACAATAAGCTTTCCACGGACTGGTTATTAGTCATATTACGAAAAGCCAGATTAAGTTTCAGAAATTCACATAAGTTATCGGTACTTCTTGAACATTTACCACAAAGTAAACAAATTTTCCAGCAAAAGATTTACAAACACAAGACGAGATGCTATTCATGTAGCAAGTGTAGAAGCATGTAGAAGAAGCATGTATAAGAAGTAGGTTTTTACGTACTTATTTATCCGGAAGGGGTGAAATTCCACGAGTCTTCCTGAAATTGCAGACACGACCGAACCGAAATAATTTAAGAAAATTCTCCTCAACCACACTAGATAGTGGCGTATCTCGCATCAAATATCTTATATAATGGACATCGGCTCTCAAGGTAGACAATCGAACAACGACATAGCAGACAGTGAACGATCCTGATATAGATGGAAGCGAAATTTTCCGGATAAGGTTGAATCGATTGAATTTAAGTCAACGGGGTATTATCATCAGATTTGCAGAAACGTCGTTTCTGCAAATCTACCGCAAAAAAACAGAAATTGTAATATCTTGAATTATTTACCTTGGATTCTTTCTACGCCTTTGAAGTTGAATAGTTACACGAAGTGTGAAATTTATTTTTCCAAACAGCACAGACCCTTTTCTGTGCTTGATGTTCGTTCACTGAATCCTCGTACCGTCGCTTCGTTTGTCCTCTGTCCACCTGCACGCCATTTCAATTGAACTATCGAAATGTATATACAGGTTGTCCCAGTCTCTCTTCAATGAACCGTTACAATTAACAATAATGAATAATTTAAAATGTACTGTACTTGAAAACAGCTAATTGATAATAAACAATAATGCAACCTGGCAGGGTTTATTTATGTGATTGGTATGGAAAACTATAATTGTACAGTGTCAGCGGGTATTTCAACAGTTCAAACTTCTGGAAAAATTCTGGCTACCAAAAGACAGAAGAGAGTGAGATCGATAACCAGTTGGGAAAGAGGAAATTACATCACTTTGATGTGTGCTATGAGCGCTGCTGGCGGTTACATTCCACCGATGTTCATTTTCCCCAGGAAAAGGTTGACTCCTCTGCTCGAGAAGGATGGTCCAGCAGAAGCGCTTTACAAATGCTCGGACAACGGTTGGATTAATGAGAATCTCTTTCTTGAATGGTTGGTGCACTTTAAACAGCACGCTAAGCCGTCTGTAGATGAACCCATCCTTTTAATACTAGACAACCATGCTAGTCACATTTCTCTTTCCATCTACAAATATTGCAAGCCCAATCATATTCATATGTTGTCTCTGCCACCATACAAGTCACACAGAATGCAACCTCTGGACGTTTCTTTTTTTGGTCCGCTCAAAATGGCCTATAAAAAAGAATGGGACTTATTTTTGAAAAGCCATCTTGCAGAAAAGATAACACCTTATGACGTAGCATCGTTGGTGAGAAAAGCATTTAGTAATGTTGCGTCTATTAGTAAAGGAGAATCGGGTTTTAGAGCTACTGGAATATTTCCACTAAATTCGGAAGTATTCACAGAAGAAGATTTCTTCGCTGCAGAAACTCTCCAATCTGAGACTATTATAATCCAAGACTGCAATGAAACTCTCGCAGCTACCAGCATGATTCCCAGCACATCAAAAGAATTTCACTCACCAGTTCCGAGTACCTCAAAACAAATTGATCCACCGGTTCTTGGGATGTCTGAACGAGTAGGCCCACTTCATTCTGAACCAG